GGCCTTTAGTGAATGACCAATACTCTGCCCTTACACAAACCTGGCACAAAAAGAAAGACATTGATAGGTGTAACATGGCATATTAAAAAAAAAAAAGAAATCAAGCTGATGAGGTCAAAATTCCATGGTTTGACAGAAAGGAATTGCTTGAATGCGACATAAAAGAAAAAGAAAAAAAAAAAAACAACAAATGACCGCATCGGACAACCTTAAGGACTGTTTTTTTAGCATAGATCAGGAAATTCAGCCTGTTTCTGAAGCGAGCAAGGATGCTGAACGAGGGTGCGCTTACAATCGAATAGTGCATGTAAGCGCATTCATCCTTGTATAAGCATATGCAACATGTAATAGAGTGCAATTATATATTTAAAAAAAGAGGTCATCGAGTTTTATTAGGCACGGGAACCATCGATCACCTTTTTCCACCCATTTGCACTCCCTTCTCTCCCTCCATCCCTCTCTCTGCACAGGCCCACCACTCCCCCTCCTCCCCCTACCTTTGATCCATTTCGGCAAAAGAGAAGGCCCCACCTCTCAACCCTTACCTGCAATTCAGTCATCTGATTGTAGAGAATGTCGCTGTACACCTTTTCGAGTGGTGCATACGCCGGTGCGCTCGGGTTGTGATGAGGAGCGAACGGTCGATGAGGTAAGTCAGCTTCAGGGCATGTAAGGCAAGTCCCTCGTGCCCTTTGAAGTTCTCTGCCGTCGGGTAGTAGTAGGGAGTATTTGTCGAGAACTCCTGCTCTTATCGTGTTGTTTAAAACTGTGTTGCTTGGATGTCCCAATCGTGCGTGCCAGGTTTCTTCGGAGGCGCGATGTCCGGGTGAGCGTTGATACGCGTCGGAGTTGGAGTAGAAGCTGGCGACGAGGTTGGCGCTTCTGTGGATTGCTCGTTGAGTCAGGTTCAGTTGCTGTGCTGGTGCTGGTGGTGCTTCGTCGACGATGACTGGTGTAGTTGGTCCTGCTGCTGCAGATGATGTTTTTGCTGCTGCCGTTGTTGTTTCTGCTGCTGCCGATGTTGTCTCTGCTGCTGCCGATGTTGTTTCTGCTGCTGCCGATGTTGTCTCTGCTGCTGCCGATGTTGTTTCTGCTGCTGCCGATGTTGTTTCTGCTGCTGCCGATGTTGTTTCTGCTGCTGCCGATTGTCGAATTGTTGCTAACGCTCGTGTTCGTTCTGCTTCAGGAATGGTGTGTGAGTACCAGAAACCTCCCGGGCTGAAGTCGGGATCGAGATCCGGGGGATGCGTCCAATCAGCGAAGTTGACGATGGCGTCGCTGTCGGCAGTGCCCAGGTCGGGGACGAAGTCGAGGACGAAGACGTTGTTCTTCAACACCCCCTTTCCGATGTAGAGGCCGCCCTTCCCGTGGTACAACTTAAACTCCTGGGTGGTGCTGTCGGCTTCCAAGTGAATACCTTTCGCCATCAGCTGGCTGACACTCAATAAGTTGTAGCCGAGTCCCTCCGCGATAAGTACCTTTGACATGTGTAATATGACGTTTGTCTCTCGTGACTGAAGCTGTACCACTCCTTGTCGTCGTGTGCGCAGGTTCTGATTGTTGGCGACGGTAATGACCACTTCTCGCTGGAGTCGATGCTCGCGTTGAACGAAGCGCCCGGAGGAGCACATATGTTGTCCGCAGCAACTGTCCAAGAACCAAGTGTCTTGGCCGGACGGTTCACTTTGAGCGATGGCGGCGTACGTTGGGTTCGGTTGAAGAGATTCGCGGCGAGGCATGCTGTTGTCAAGTTGTTCTTCGGGTGAGTAGTACGGTGGTGACTTTGTTGTGCAGGAGTCGTTTATCTTGACCATGCAATTGACAATATTTCTTGCTCCTTGTGCAGGTTGTCCAGTTGAAGTCGTTGAAGCCTGGATTGTGGTCGTCGGATTTGTTTGCGTTGAGGCAATTTGGGAGCTTGAAGGCCGGAGTTGTCGCTGTGGTGTTGTCGACTGCTGACGAGACGGGCAGTGCGTGCGAGGATGACCCGAGGTCTTGCAGATGTGACAAAACGGAGGTACCGTCTTCACTTGTTGCTGTTGTCGATTGTTGTTGCCGTTGTATCGTCGCTGAGTGTGAAACGCAAACTCTGGTGCTAATGTTTTCTTCTTGTGTCTTTCTTCTTGCAGGTCCATGTCCTGCTGTTCGGCGTGGATTTCGGCGCAGAGTGCCGCTTCGGAGATCCTCCCGTGTGCTCCAGTGGAGCGAGTGGCGCGAGTGGAGCGCCAGTGGGGGCCGAGACCGCCAATGACCACCGTGACAAAGGCGTCTTCTGAAATTGACCCTCCGCATCGAAGAAGTTTGTCGCGCAATTCGCGGCAGCGGCTGATATAAGCCATGCCTTTCTCGCCTGGTTTCATTTCAATCGTTGTCAGCTGATTAACCTGCTTTGATTTACGCTGTCTGTTGCTTGATACAGGTTCTTCAGGTGGTTGTACGCGAGCTCCGCGGAGTTGCCGTAGCCTCGGTAAGTCTTGATGTTCTGCTGCTAGGTCGGGGTGATGTTTCTTAGCAGTATCGTGTACGCCATCATTGATTGATAGGTGTACTGCTGCTTCTCATATTGTGTCCCGTTTGTCGGATATGGCAGGGACCCGTCGAAGAAGCCGAGAATCTGTGCTCCTTCCATCATCAGTTCGAACTCGAACGACCAGGTGAAGAAGTCTTTCCCGTTGAAAGGCTTTGTTGTTTGCAGCTTGAGAACGTGCGCGAATTGCGATTGAACTTGTAATGCGTTCAATGCCCTTTCTTGTTCCGGTGCAGATTGCGGTTGCGGCATGAAACTGACGGAGCCACGCTGGGGTTCGTACGGCGCAAAGGTAGGCTGCTGTTGTTGTTGTTGAATCCCGCGTGCGTAGGATGAGCCGTCGAGACTCATAGGAGTCACGTTGTTGTTGTTGCTGTTGTTTGACTGCGCAGGTACTCCTTGCTGGTGTTGCTCGTAGAAGGACATGAAAGAGAAGAACTTCTCCATCATGCTTGGATCGAAGCCTGCTGGCGTTTCCGTGGACCCGGCTGCTGGTCTGGTGGTAGTCCCTTCCTCTGTCTGTAGGCCAGAGACAGGTGGTGGGGTAGGAGAAGTACCGGGAGAGCCGTTGGAGGAGCTCCTCTCCTTTCTGGTTGACATGTCTTCTTTGATGTAAGGATTGCTGAATAATAAGTTTTAACTCTAACCACTCTCATACCATGTTGGGCTGAGAAGCCCTAGGATCTTTGTAGAGTTAAAGTCTGAGTAGGATTGTAATAGCGGAAGCGTTGAATAAAGATCTTGAACCACCTTGCGCTAGTATGTGAGGGCAAAGTAAGTTGATTAAAACAGGCAGATACAAAGCTTTATATAAGAGTACAAGGAATACGAATAGATATAATTAACTACCTTGCTGTTGCGATTCGATACAGTGCGACTCGGGCAACTGCTCAATGTCGAGTCAGTTGTGTGTCCTTGCTGTCGCGCTGTATTGGTCAAGTCAAAGGTCGCTGACCTTTGACCTTCGCGTAACCTCCAGGCGGTTACCCTAACCTCTGAGGGTTGTCTCGCCAATGCTTCGATATGCTTCGCTTCGCTTCTGACTTGGTGTTTTGACACGACAGAGGCGCTTAAGACTTATTGTTCCCAACAAGTGGCAAGGGTTAAAAGTATGTTTGAAAGGCACGCACACATCAAAGTTTCAAGGATTTACCGTAATACCTAGGATATCAGACCCCCTCCATTTGTAGACCCCCGGGTCTTTAATACGGAGGGGGGTACGCTAAATAGGTTGTTTGTAGTTATCCCCCCTAATTGGGGACTAACATTATATGACCCCCCTCCCCCTAGAGAATCGGTCATTGTATAGGCAATGAATGCAAATCTGATAGCTACTCTACCCTTTTCCACACCAAATCCCATAAAATGTTCATTAACGAGGGCAACAGCCAATCACAAAAGCACATCTATTCATCATCCTGTCCACTCCACGTACTCATTTGAATGTTAACAAAGAAGTTAATTCCGCGTGTTCACTTTGAATGCTAAGGACGAAGCACAAGACATTATGGTTAACAAAACACAAGCAATATACATGACCTCATGATATGACCCGGATTTTATAGAATGTAACCAGCTGTTAAGACCCCCCGACCTCCCCCCCCCCCCCGACCATTTCTGGGGTGGGATTCTTATAATACCCTCGGGTCTTATATCCGAGGTATTACGGTACGAAGCAAAGTCTAAAGCACAGGAGCTATAAATGACATGACAATTGTGTCAAAGCACAAGCAGAATGTTGATGGCTGAATAATCCCTGCATATCTACTAGAACCTTATGGCACACAGATCATACCATTGCCTACCTTACCAACACAATACTTGGAATTATAATCTTTAAACTGCTCTTTATCTACGTAGTACCTTGAAATTGCAATGGAACACGACATGCCCGGCGACACTTTTGTCTTAGTACCAATAAGGCACTGGCCTTTAGTGAATGACCAATACTCTGCCCTTACACAAACCTGGCACAAAAAGAAAGACATTGATAGGTGTAACATGGCATATTAAAAAAAAAAAAAGAAATCAAGCTGATGAGGTCAAAATTCCATGGTTTGACAGAATGGAATTGCTTGAATGCGACATAAAAGAAAAAGGAAAAAAAAAAAACAACAAATGACCGCATCGGACAACCTTAAGGACTGTTTTTTTAGCATAGATCAGGAAATTCAGCCTGTTTCTGAAGCGAGCAAGGATGCTGAACGAGGGTGCGCTTACAATCGAATAGTGCATGTAAGCGCATTCATCCTTGTATAAGCATATGCGACATGTAAGAGAGTGCAATTATATATTAAAAAAAAGAGGTCATCGAGTTTTATTAGGCACGGGAACCATCGATCACCTTTTTCCACCCATTTGCACTCCCTTCTCTCCCTCCATCCCTCTCTCTGCACAGGCCCACCACTCCCCCTCCTCCCCCTACCTTTGATCCATTTCGGCAAAAGAGAAGGCCCCACCTCTCAACCCTTACCTGCAATTCAGTCCCGCTAGGGATGGTTCTGGAGCAAGTGAGGCCAGGATTGCTGCGGTACAGATCAGCCCAGGTGCTTCCCGACTCCTTGGCGGCCCTTTGAAACAGCACCTGGCACGTGTCTTGAGAAGTCAGCGTGCTGTATCTCGAACACTCGAAGACGTTGTAGGCGAAATCAGCACTGCGCTCGATGCAGATCGACAGACCCGCCTTTAGGTTGTTGGACGAACAATCAAGGCCGGGGTTGAGAATGTCCAGATTGATTCCATCCAGTTGCGAGCTGATCGATGAGCAAGTGTCACCCTGTAGGATTGAAAAATGCACGGAACAGTGCACATGGCATGAGTTACTCGGGGATGCACGGAACAGTGCTCATTTGGCTTGACAGGTTTGTTAAGAGCATGGTGAGATAATATCAAGAGACAAACTGATCACACCTTGATCGTGTAAAAGAAGGCAGTGCAAGGTGTGCCAGGAGTACCAGCAAGCTGAAGAATAGTGCCTTTGTCCAATGGCTGGCTGCAGTTTATCCCCTGCTTTGCGAAACGTGCGCACAAAAAATTGACGGAGTGAGTGCAGGGGTCTATTCATATGCGTTGCTCACCAATGCAGAGCATTCGCGATGCTACGGGTGAAAAAATTGCGTACACTACACAGCTGACGAGGACAACTAAAAACACACGGATTGTTGTGTCCAGCACAATCATCACGATTATAGATTTTTTTCTCACCGGATTGTTAGAAAAGAAGTTGTTCATGGAGATGCCAACACTCGGATAAACATCCGAACATTGCCAGTTGTCTCCACTAACCGTCATGCTGGTGGCAGTGGTATCCGCTGTAGAGAGCGAGTACAACGAGGCAGAGGCACCAAGGAAAAAAAGAAAGGGAAAGCGTGGTTTGGGAGAAATTAGCCCATTACAGCCTTGATATGCTGGACAATCCTAACAGGACAACCTGAAAGAATGAAAGCCAAGAAGGTTGAAGCATCACCTGGATCACAGGTTGGGAAGCCGTAATTTGTAGCTCTTTCAATGTGGTTGGGAGGGCAGATGCTGGAGTAGGAGCCCTTGAGATCGTTGATGCATGTGCCCACGTAGCAGGGGTTCTTGAAGTACGACCCGCACACGTCCACTGCCACAGTTAGTGCACGTTGGAGAGTGGGGAAAAGTGGGGAAGATTGAGCCAAACAGCACCAATGAGAGCGCTCCAATCCAAGCAAACCACCCAGCTGCGAATTGTGCACCTATAACATGGCCGGTCGCGGATCCAGGACCCCCTGTTGATGCATATATGTTACAGCCTTCGCGAAGATGCTCTGCAGGTGCGAGAATGGGGCCATCAGGCATGACATTCAAACCGCCCTCACGAGCACAGCAGGTGCCAACCTCACGAGCACAGCAGGTGCCAACCTCACGAGCACAGCAGGTGCCAACCTCACGAGCACAGCAGGTGCCAGCCTCACGAGCACAGCAGGTGCCAACCTCACGAGCACAGCAGGTGCCAGCCTCACGAGCACAGCAGGTGCCAACCTCACGAGCACAGCAGGTGCCAACCTCACCAGCACAGCAGGTGCCAACCTCACGAGCACAGCAGGTGCCATCCTCACGAGCACAGCAGGTGCTCATACACAAGCACTTACCCAGATATCCTCATCCCCAGGCAGACATAGCTAATGCCATTAACAACACTGACCATGGCTCCAACATTGCCTCATGGCAGGACATCTTGCTAAGGACGCTGCTTCCTCTCCTGTGGCAAAACCTCCCTGCTCTACCTGGACAAGGGATTTAATAGTCTGCCTCTGCTCAGCCAGCTAGGCGTGTGCCACGAAGACCTAATAGGACCTTCCTTTTTGCCGCAGGCATGGAAACTTACTCTGGCACAACCATATCTTACCGTAAGCACATGTTTTGGAGCCGTATCCATTATCAACCTCAACAAAAGGTTGCCTCATAGCTTGAGGAAATGGAGAAATATTGCAGCTGCAGCTGTGGCCTCCGTTGGTCTCTTGACACGGGAACCGGCCACAGGGGTTCATGCCGTATAAATCCTGGTCGCCTTTGTAGCTTTGTTTCCTGCAGGGGTCCCCTGGAACTGAAAGGTGGCAAAGAGTTACAATGAAATGCTTAATATGTAAGGTGGACAAGTGTAGGACCAAAAAAATTGCAAGTAACTCTGCAACTGTGTAAGATGAAAAAGTGTAAGCACCGCTAAGTGCTTGTGCTGTTCCAAGCTTGCCACCAACCTGAACGAGCACTGGTGACAAGACTGACCTTCATGAGTCAGATTTAAAAGGAACCGGTTCCACAATCTCGAATGTTAAACATAATCTGCAAAAGCGGTTACCGATACATTTCCTCGGTTTCTGTTTCAATGCACTTCCTTCCGAACTCGAACGCTCCAGAATACTCTCACACTGTAATTCCGATGCCGTGGCTACTTCAGCAGCCTCACGGGGGGTTGGTCATTCCAGGTCCCCTTCATGCCATCCCTTCGCATTGACACTCAACATTTGCAACTGCTAGGTAGGTAAGAAAGAAGGAAACTCGATTCTTAAAAACAGACTTGAGGATGAACTAGGCAAAAGAAACATGGGGCACAACACCCAACTGCCCCTCATTCCCTTGCTTGCACTGCTGATTTCATTTGGTAGAAGGGTAGGTGGCCAACTCTTGACAGTGGGATAGACGCTTCTTAATAATGGGACAGATGCCTTACTCTTGCCATTGGTTGAAAATGTGCCACACCTGACATTGCACTTGAAGCTGGTTTAAGGTGCACCACCACATATGATAACGGGGTACACTTAGACCAGGCAATGGGGTAGGTGCCTCACTCTTGACAACAGGGTAGATGCCAGGCAATACGTTGATGCCGCACACGCCATCCCCTCCCATAATGCCCATGCGCATGTGGCCACGGTCGCCCCAATCAACTCCCCACGAGTTGCGGATGATCCAAAACGGAGGAGCAATGCGTCCCTGGCTGCCGTCATCTCTATTGATGAAGTAGCCAATGACGAGTACAACATGGTTCAGACTGCCAGTGTAGCAAGCAGGATCTTGGTACTTGAATGTCTGACGCAGAAAGGGGAGAGGACATACATCAATTGTAAATACAGAGGACATGTAGAGGCAGCTATGCTGGAACCACAGGTTCCCCATGATGCTGCGCAATGTGTAATTGTGAATGTACATGTCATTCTCCTAAAGGAGTGCACCACAAGACAGAAAGGGGAGAGGACATGCATACAGGTAAACAGAGAGTATAACTAGAGAGTACATGAGAAGCCAATGCTAGAACCAAAGGCTTTCCAGAATGCTGTGCAATGTGTGATTATGAATGTACGTGTCGTCCTACGAGAGTGCAATACACGATATGAGCAATGAATGCTGCAATGACTCACCCCATCATAGATGATGAACGTGTCAGCTAAGGCCTCGATGTGAACCACCACTGGCTGGCGCCGCACTGCCAGCATGAGACCCTCATACCCTTTGAAGTACGCCCGCTCAAATGCATGCACCGGATATGGTGTTGCCTAGGAACAGGAAAACAAACTGAAGGAATTTAATCAAAAGAGACGGGACTGGAGTTTGCTAGAGGATTTGGCAACAATACACCCTGCCATGCATATTTTTTGGGTAAAAGAAAACACATAAGCCACGTACAGCAGGATACGGATCAATGCATCACCCACCAAACAGCATGCCAAGTATTTATCAGAATAAGAACTGGGTTGTTTAAAGGCTCTAACCACCAGTTTGGAGACCTTTCAAATGCGCATGATTAAGCCCCTCTCGTCTCAACCTCACTTCAATCACAAAAACCTCATTATGGCTGCCTTACCTGGTTACTGCCTCCTCTGAGTCCACTGCTGCCATCAAGAGTCACAAGCTTCTCAAAAGCCGCAGTGGGGGAGCCTCCAGCAATGCACTTTGTATCGGTGAGCCCCATGGCTGCAAAGAGTGGCTCCACTGACAGCTGAGGAGCGATCTGATTCGTTGCAATGCCATATGCTGCCTCCACACTCGCCACCACCGCATACGCCCAGCATGCACCTGAGAGGTGAGGGTGAAAACTTTGACAATTGGAGGCGCTCGCAGTGGAATCCTCTTGCAGCGTTGCATACAACTGAAGATAAGAACCGTTAACCAGCATCAGTTGAGATTGAAATTGCAATCTGATGCTAGGCAGGATCCCAACAAGACGTAGACCATGCAAGCTGGAATAACAGTGTATTTTTGACCTGAAACTGAATTTCTCCAGAGGCATCCTTCAGATTCCCACACTCTTGCCACTCACTGCAAGCCACCTGATCCTTCACAGGCCAGCCAAGGAAGGCCAGCGAGTCCCAGGTATGGAAGTCACGGATGCGCCAAGAGTCATCGTTGGTGGTTGCCAACTCGTAGTCCGTGCTCACATAGCGGAAGAAAGGGGTGGCTCCGGGTGGTGCAAATGCGCCCGGCGCTAATTCGAGGCCAACGGCTGTGAAGAACAGAAAGAAGTGTGGGAGTGATTGTCAAGCACACATGGCATGCGAAGAACAGTTTTATTGCTCTTAACACACAGATCCATTTTGGTTATACGTTCCAACCATTTTCACTTGATTCTGTGCACCCGACATATTTGTAGGGGAGCCAAACCGTGTTATCGAAATCATCATTCTAAACTTTTTTTTGGGGGGGGGGGGGGGGGGGGGGGGGGCATTTCCTGGTTTATCCCAGACGTTGCCATTGATTATCTCCAATGATGGCACATGACATAAATTTCACCTTGAGTTGTACTCCGGACCAGCTTGGATGGAAGCACACCTGTAAATAGGCACAAATGGAAAAAAAACTTAAGTGCAGCCTTAAAAGGATGGCTGGGAAAAACATAGGGAAACTACCCCATGAGTGGCTGGAAGATGCAAGCTCGCTCTAACCATCAACCACGATTCTTCATCACCTCCATGCGGGAGATGATGAAGGCTCGCCACAAGATGCACAATATATTCGCCCTAAATAGGCCAATTAAGGCTCGCCACAAGATTAGCAGGCTCATCACGAGACTTATCACAGGTCGGAGTAACCTTGTTGCTACTTCAATCCGAGACACGGCGGCTGAGAGCGAGCCCAGCTCGCAACCTCAAGAATCAAGCCACCTCAACGCGTCTGGCCTTGGTTAACGAGAATAGTAAGACACACCCACAAATACCCGTCTACCTCTCTCTCTCCCCTTCCTCCCACTATGGCCTCGCCTCGAACATAACAACAATATGGCAGGTTCAGCTGCCTGAGAATGCATTGTGATGCTCAATCATAGGACAAGACTAGGTAAAGCTGCTAAAAAGCCTAAGGCGAGGATTTGATTTAGACTCAGAATTGTTGCTTCTTAATGCACCGAAGGAGGTCTTCAAAGGCTCAGAACCCTCAGACCCTGTGCAGCAACCCGATCTGCAGCTTACAAACCGGCTCGGGCCTGACCCACCATGAACCAAACGAGTTCTCTTGCCAGTTCCCACAACATTGGCACACCATTTTTGGTTGGCACTTCTGCCCTTCTCGTTGCCGCTATCGCTGTAATACTAACACCATTACTCCTCGAACTTAGTTGACCTTGTCATTCAGACAGCAATTCCCATCAACATTTTTAACTTCTCTCATCATTTGGACACTCATCACCATCATCACTACCCCAACCAGTAAATACTTGCCTGCACTGACGCCAGACTTCAAAATTGCATGCCTCTGAAAGGGCTTCACAGTGGTGGATGCCACAAAGCCAAAGAAGAACGCGGACTGCTGCACACTAGGCTGCAGCACCGTACACAGCGACAGCTGACTCTGCAGTAGCGGCACACCTGGCTTCACTTTGGAGTCGGCTAGAAACACCTTGACCGTGCCACGAAGTGAAGGGTCGTAGTCCACCCATGCCGTGTACGCATCGCCGCTGTTGAGAGTGAATGGCGACTCTACTGCGACCAAGGATTTATCCAAGCCTTTCATGTTTAGCCCCACATGCTGCAATTTCTGATCACTGTGCTTGGGATTCCATAGCGTGTCGAATTCAATGGCTACACTCCGCGCTCCTATTCCACCATACCCTACACCATCAGGTCTTCCCAGCCTGCCCTTTGCGGCAATCACAAACGCAAAGCCGTTGGAAGCCACAGAACCACGCTGGGGAAGAAGGGCGAATGTGAAGTTGACATTGAAAGCCAGCTCCGCACCGCATATCGTGTCTAAACTACCCGGGTATGCAAACAGTGTCACTGGCTTTGCCATGAACTTCCCTGCTGTCTCCCGCCGTGTCCCCTTCGTAAGTACGGTTAACGGGGGAAGAATTGGACTGGTTGTTGAGAAGATCTGTTCCCAACCTGAAAAGGTGTTGGGTGGTGATAGCAAAACTTAATTATGAGGCAATGAATTGGTGGACAGGTCAATGGGACACCATATAGTCCAAAGATGGGTGCAAGAACTTGATGGAGCAGCGGAGCAGTTCATGCAAATGGATTGTGTGATGATTGAACTGCGAGTATGCTGTGATTGTTTTTCTGTAACTGTTCTATCTATCTTTCAAGAACCAAGAAAAGCAGCAGCATAGGCATAGGCTATGATATAGGCATGAGCTGACAATGGCAGTGGCGGTTTGATCAAAACAGTCGGGCCAAGTACTGGTGGATCACCAACTGGTTGGATCTGAACTATACCTGGGCAAATGGCGAGTCGAGTTTTTTCTTACTGACGAGTCGAGTCGATTCTCCCTCGTCGAGTTTTTTTTTTTGCCAAAGTGCTGACTCAAAACTCGGCCCCAAAGTCTAGTTGAAAACAAACTAGGAAGAGCCTAAAAACAACTTGTTCAAGTCAAGTAAATCTCGACTCGAGATTGAACTCTACCCCAGTTACCACCCCCAGCCACACGAAAACAGTCTTAGGGTGCCCTGAAAATTGCCCCATGCGTCAACACCCACAAACATACCAGCCAGCACCGCCTCTTCCCCCCCCTATCACTTTCCAGCCAAGCTACTCACCGCCACGCCACCTGCACTGGTGTTTGCAACTAAGTGGTGGAACGCTTCCAAAACAGTGAGTCACATCTTTAGCAGGACACTAACCCATTTGTACCCCCCCTCTGGTGTTCCATTTGACGCGCAAGATTAAAAAACTTGTCTAAGGTTTATAAAACTCCCGAGTGAAAAAAAATCGCGGAAAAAATCCCCCTACCTATTTGAAAATTTCAAGAGTTTTTTTGTTTAACTCTTGAGTAAAACTCGACTCATGTAGTCGAGTTATTTTTTTTACAAAAACAGAACCCGAAACTCGTGTTTTTCAAGCACCCAAAACGACTCGAGTAAAAACTCGCCTCGTTTGACCATGTATAATCTGAAGAGGATAGGCTTCAGCTCGACCACCCAGCCGGTTCAACAATGTTCGGGTTCGAGGCATGTTCATGCTTACTAGCTGGTAGACGTGTGGTGCCTGGAGGAAATTGGGTTATCAATGTTTAACATGAACGAAGTGCTGACCGCGTGGATGTGTGCCTCTGCTATGCTATATGTGGAAAATGTTTCGGCAAGAAAAAAAACCGCACGAAACCCATACCTTCTGCAAAGCAGTTGATCCTCCCAAAGCGGATGTATCCCACTTCACACACGCATGTTGGCACCAGGCTGGGTCCGTCTGGATAGCAAAGGCCATGACCATTACAGGCACCCATAGCACCAGTGACGTCACAAAAGGCTGTGCACTCTGCTGCAACCCGCTGCTGCTGGACGGAACAGTTGGGCTGTGTGAAGCAGTTGCCAGCAAGTCGGCGGTCAAGGCAGGCTGATGTATTTAAAGAACCTGTCAAGTAGTTGCTTGAAAGATCCATTCTGGTCCAAGGAAGATCCTGAACGGGGCCCGAGAGGTAGTTGGAAGAGGCATCACTGGAAGTGAGGAGGAAGGGGAGGGAGATATGTGTGGTGGGTAATGGCAGAGGGAAAACATGAATGAGGTAGTTGTCAGGAAACGAGATTCAGCAAATAGGAGGGAAGGAAGGGGTGGGAGGAGGCGGTGGCGGCAGGACGAGGACGAGGAGGAGGAGCAGGGAGAGGAAGCAAAGAAGGAAGAAGAGGAATTAAATGTTATCATCAAGTTGTTGACCCAGGGTGGCCAGCACGCATGAGCAGAAGAATGAACATGGGTCGGCCTGGGCCGAACCGGCACGGTCTCTGCCCTGGACTCCCAATTTGGGCTTTTGGCTTAGGTCGGGCCAAACCGGGTTTTGCCCGCCAAAGCCCAAAATGTTTGCCTTTGGTCGACGACCAAAAGTCCAAGATGAATTGACCCGGGCCACGCCGTAGCCCGACGCGGCCGAAACTACCTGGGTGTAGGGATAAACCGAGCCAGGGTCAAATGATTCGAGCTGGGGTTAGGTTCTTTTCTACTCGAGACTTCAAGGGAGCCCTTGACTCGAGTCAAGCGCATTGTCCTTTGAGTTACACAACAGTTCGGGTAGAGCAGGTCAGTGGGCGTTTAAATGTATTGCAATGTGTAAGTCGTGGAAGCCAATGAGAGGAACAAAATTGCAGTAAAAACTCACAAGGGGAAAGAAACTAGATGGGTTGGGGAGGTACTTCATGTATGTGCAACTCACAGTTTAGTTACTTTGGAAAAAGCACCGAGACTCGCAGGAATGGTGCCGAAAAGCTGGTTGCGTGAAAGATCCCTGAAGGGTACAAGGCAAGCAGTAGAGGCCAAATAGTGTCGACCCAAATGAAGACACGTCACATGGAATGGAACTAATGAGTCAATCATCTGCCAAGCACTGGGCTAATTCCTTGGTAAAAAACGCAACACTGTGAAGTCTCGTGTCCAGAAATAGTGATGGCTTGCGATCCAGGGGTACTCGAGATAAGCGAGTATGGAAGAGTCACAAGCTTATCATGATTCATCTCGAATCGAATCGTGTTGGGTCGGCTTGGCTAGGTGCCAGGTGTGTAGGAGCCTATCCCGGTTTAAGGAAGACTACCTCGAGCATAACATTCAATGGGTCGTGTTGGACCCAGGCAACAATTGACTTCCAGGTCTATTTAAGCCACATTGATCCTAGCCTACACTCATCCTACTTCATCTCCCAAGTTGGTCACTTTTATGTTTTTACCTTAAAGAAGCTCTGGTGTGGGGATTGTAACCATTCCGTTTTAAGGGTTGGGGAGAGGATCGCTCGTCCACCAACCTAGCCGCACACGCACTACTTTTTAGGGTTTGCACAACTTGGGTTTCTCACGTGGCGCCAAAGAAAACAGCTTGACACATGTTGTGGTGGGCGTGGTTGTGGGAGGGCTGCTGGGAATCGCTGATTGACCTACCGACTTGTGAGGGTTCTTTTAATGTCCGCACATCATGGCGCCAAGGAATGGAGGGGGCGGATGAGAGGACGGGAAAAGGGAAAAATCGTTGTGACTATAACGAAATGAACCCGGGCCGAACTCAGATAAGCCCGGGGCAGGCTAAATATTTTGCTTAAACGTTTTTCGGCCCGGATAACTTTAGGCCAAACCTGCACCGGAGGATTGCTTGGTCAGCATGGGGCGGGCCCAGATTGGCCTGTGCTCATGCCTAGCAACCAAATAATGAGACACATCAAATAGCCCTCTCTTGCATGCTGCCTTTGTAGCCCAGATTCAGAGTATATCTGAAAAATTGGCTTCTTGTTTCATGACCAAAACGTGCAACAGAAATAGTGGCAGTATTCCACATTAAGCTACCGTAGTAAAGCCGGACCATAGAAGCAGCCTGTGTTCAACGGAAAAGGGTTACTTCATTTCTTCACCTGGCTCGTGCCTCAAGGTTCAAGCTGGTAACAGAGGTCCAGGTGGGAAGAGAAAGCAACAACAATAAAAATGAGGTGAATGCCTCACAAATAAGTCAGGGTGGTGAGCGATCGCGGTGCAATGTCAGAAGGAATCGAGCCACTGAATTTATTGTTGCTGAAATCTCTGAGAAAAATCACAAGTAGGGGGCAAGGCAAAAAAAGCCCAGGAAATCATATTCATGGAGTGAAAAGGCATGGACATTCACGTAAAGAACATTTCATATTGCATGTGCGTTTTTCAGCCCTTGAGATGACCTTGGTACTGACTGAATGTGGGTTGCCACTGATTTGTTAACGATGCAAGCAGCAAAGCAACCAAGGGGAAGGCATTACAAGGTTCTCAATTCAGTGGGTTTATAGATCTGAGGGATACTTCCAGTGAACATGTTGCCAGCCACTTTCCTGCAGTTACCAGGTTACAGTAGGAGAGCAAGAGGTATCGAGGGAAGGACAATTGTGGAAAGTTTTGGCAGATGAATCAAAAGGAAGATGCAAACCACCAGGAAAACCAAAGCGGGAAAGCTGAAAATAACTGAGAAGACTGGACAAAGCCAAGGGGGAATCGAGCTGGCTATCAAAAGGAGACAAATGGAAGGAGAAAAGTTAAGACCAGAAAAGGGACAGAAAGAAGACACGCATGTAGTCAGTATAAGATAGAAGGACAGATGGGGGTGAAGAACGAGAGGGAGGACAGAGTATATTAATTCGACAAAGGAGACACACAGGAGGTGAAGGGAGAGAACAAAGGAGGCAAGGGCACTGGAAGGAAGACGAAACAAGAAAAGAAGAACAACAAAAAAACAAACAAACAAACAAACAAACGCCAGCAGTTGCTGTCAGTGGAAATAAAATTCAGCGAAGTGGACAGGTTAAAGGCCAACAGTTGCTGTCAGTGATAGCTGACAAGGATGGCCAGAAATTTCTGTGATAACAGTTGTGATGACACTTACAAGCTTATCAAGCTGGACAGACCGCCGATAGCAGTTGGAATGGTTCCATCGAAGCGATTTCCACCTACATCCCTGAATGCCCACAAAGAACAGAACAACCACAATCCACAATGCTGGCGGATGGAGTGTGACTGCCCATTGAAACGAATGAAAGCAAGTGCCACAAAAGAAGGTGGTTGTGGTGTGTGGACCGCCCT